CCAACCCAAGTTATATGATGGCAATCATCCCCTAAGCATATGGCCCACCAATATACATCTGAAGGGTCTCATGACTAAGGTTTTACTAGACAGTAATAAATAACCTTTTCCTAACAATAGCTAGTCCCCTCAGGGTCCTGGAAACATTGCTTCCAAATTCCTTAGAGACCTACCCTATCCCTAACCCCGTCCCAACTGGTAAGTATATAATGGGCCACTTCTCATGACCCCAGTGCAGCTCTTTCTGCCTAGGGATTCTGTCCTAGTGCTTTAATAAAATCAACTCTTTGTACCAAAGATGTCTCAAGAATTCTTTCTTAACCAGAGGCTCCAAACCCCAACTAATTCCTACATCACAAGGATTTTAAGAAAAAAAAAAAAGTTAAAGTGGATTCATGACCTTTAGGCCCTATTTCCAAAGACTGATCCTTCTCTATTTTTTCATAATGTAATTTCTCCCAGAACCTTCCAAAAAATCCCTACCCCATTTCCACCACCAAAATTATACTAACTCTATAAATACTCTTACACATATTTCCAACCTACCACAAAACTCGATTCATATCCATACTCCTGGTAGTGAGTGGGTATGTGGGGATTCAGAGAGAGAGAGCGCTTGCTACACTATCTTTGCTATTTGTTCTGTATTGAGAAATTTCTTATCCCATCTGCTTTTGTAAACTTTCCTCATTGTATAATTCTTAGATTTTTTAAAAAAGATTTTGTTTATTTATTTGTCAGAGAGAGACAGAGCACAAGCAGGGGGAGCAGCAGGCAGAGGGAGAAGGATGCCGGACTCGATCCAAAGACCCTGAGATCATGACCTTTTCTGAAGGCAGATGCTTAACCAATTTAGCAACCCTGGTGTCCCTCCTAGGTTTTTGTTTTGTTTTGTTTTGTTTTGTTTTGTTTTGTTTTGTTTTGTTTTAAGTGGGGCTTGAACTCAAGATCTGAGATCAAGACCTGAGCTGAGTTCAAGAGTCAGATGCTTAATTGACTATGCCACCCTGGCTCTCCTGCATTTTATAAATCTTAAATCCTTCTACTAAAATCTTGAAGAATCCTGGTTTTACCAGCTAGTAAAATGTCCTAGGTCAACCATTGGTACTGAACTCAAACTTGTCTGTGCCCCAATGCACAGTAAGCCAACGTGTGAGACACTGGTTTGAAAGCAAAGAAAGTTTTTTTAATCATTAGAAGGGCAGCCCAACAAGAAGGCAGCAGATCATTCCTAAAGTTGCTTTGCCCTGTTGAGACTAGGAACAGCTGACATATGTTTGGAGAAGGAGGTGAACACCTGAGAGGAGGGTAAGGGCTTTCTTGAAACCTTGATGGTGGTGGGGCACCTTGAAACAATCTGGAGGTATGCATTCTGCCAGACAATGAGGTGGCACTGGGGACATGAGGCATCAGGTAATTTTATGGCAAAGGTTATCATCTGTTTCCCATCAGATTCTTATCATCAATGTGCAAACAAATACCCTAAACTGGTCCTTCTCCTTCATGCCTATGGGTCTCTTTCTTACCAAACTCCAAATTGTCCATGCATCCAATGTGCAGTAAGTCAAATTCTGAGACACTGGATTTAAAGCAAAGAAAGTTTTATAGTCAAGGAGAAAGCAGGGATCATTCCTAAAGCTGCCTTGCCTGGTTGAGCTTAGGGACAACTTATATACACGAAAGGAAGATAAGGGGTTTCTTGAACTTTGTTAGGAGGTCCTTGAAACAATCTGGAGGTAAGCATTCTTGTGTAAAATGATGAGCTATGTGGGACCTGGGATCAGATATATCAAAACAGATGTTACTGTCTGGTTCTTGTTATGTTTTTACAATCAGTGGGTAAACTCAGAGTAGGAGTAAAAAGGCAAAGTTAATGATTGATTGTGCCTGGGGTTTAGAGGTAAGTAAATCAGGGGCACCTGGGTGGCTCAGTCAGTTGAGCTGCAGACTCTTGCTTTCAGTTCAGGTATGATGTCATTGGTGGTGGGATGGAGCTCTAAACCAGCTACATGTTTGGTGGGGAGTCGGCCTGGGGATTCTCTCCCTATGCCCCTCCACCCAACTGTGCACTCTCTCTCTCATTCTCTCTCAAATAAATAAATAAATAAATAAATCTTTCAAAGAAAAAAGAGGTACGTAAAAACATAATTAAGTAGGGAACAAAACAACATAGACCTAAGCTAATAATAGTTTTGCATATGCTTTCAAAACACGTCCAGGAAGCATGTGTCCAGCCTTGTCTTCACACACTGTTCCTTCTTTGGGATGACCTTAACATCCTCTTCACCTAACTTCTAATTAATCCTCACAATCAGCTCTGGTGTTGTGGCCTTATCTCTACCAGCTCCTCACAGTCCCCTGGCATGTCCTCCACCAAAGCCAAAAGAGCTATTTATAGTTATTAGCATACAATGTATTTATCTACTTATCTGTCAGATAAATAGTGGAAAAGCTGAGACAAAAATCCAGTTGAACTGGCTCCTAATCCAGGCCTTTTTCCACTTCATTACGAGGAGCGTTCTGAAAGTAACTGCTTTTGGTTATTCCCAAAAGTCAGCTGTTAGGAGAAGCGTTAGAAATTTGGAAATGCATGCTGGCAAAATGAGAGCTCG